TTTCAGCAGCGTGGGTGGCAACCCCCACTGATACGCCGTCACACCAACGCCAGCTGTTTCTCTAGAACACTCGCGGAAATTCGGCTCGGCTCCGAAGCAAAAAGCTGATGTGCGTTTGCACGCGCTCTCCTTTTATACCCACGCTGCGGGGCGGGGTGCGTGTGACGAAACACGCACGGCAACTGTCATTGGCTTGTTTAGTTATCACTCGAAGGTGATTGGGCTCTCGGGCGAGATCCCAATTCATCAGTCGTGACTGACGTAATGTAGAACGTGACTGACTGAAAGGGAACCATGGTTACATAAGTAACCTGAGATGTTCTTTCACTGCATGATTTAGTATTAAAGTGCACGAGGAATGATCAGAAAATTCAAGATATGGGGGCAGGAAATGTATATATTTATATAATTTCATATAGTTAAACAATATCACATGAAGATCGAGCGCCGTTTTTTTTTTTTTTGCTTGCTCCAAAAATCAGCATGATTACAAATGTGATTTTATACAACAGTTCAATAAACAAGAAGTTAATATTAAGAGATTTACATTTTAGACACCATATTGCCTGTTTTTGTTCTATTTCGCCAACAGAAATATTTCTAAACACAGCCACAGCACTGTTTTGCGTCTCTGAGCAACATGAGGGTGTTTCGTTCCTGAATGAATCAACCGATTAAATGATTCGGTTCAATCGCAATGACTTTTATGTATCAAAACATTATTTATTCATTTGTAATGCAGGTTAAAGCATTCCATGTCCCTCAGAGCTGCATTAAACAGTGGGTAAATATATCTACTCCACTTCAGATGCAGCTTCTGTGTTTCCTCTGCATTGCAAAGATGCATTTTGTTGATACTGATTTCACTTTATTATTTTGCTTAATTTATTTAAAAAAGAAAAATCTAACTAAATAAACTAAATGTGACATGCTCACAAAATCTATACACATACTCTATAAACACTATACTATGTTTTGTATAACTACAATACATAAATATATTTATAACTCAATTTAAATGTATTTTTTCTCTCCGGGCAAGTAACTTTTATACTCGGACAAGTAAATGACTAATTTACTTGTCCGAAGGACAACCAAATGAGAATGCTTAATGTCAAGCCTTGCATAGGCTACAACAGGATAGGCTATGTATAACGTTAAATTGATATAAAACAATTTGCAATAATTTTGCAATTTCATATAAGCACTTTAGTGTCAATGTAAATTTCTCTTGTTCTGACTGGTTCGGATAGGCTGACAGCTACGAGTTGCGGGTCAGGACAACAATGTCTCAGTCCAGTAACTACTTCAAATTTTATTTATTGATCGTACATAGATATTGTGTGGTTCTGTAACAAAATAAACAAATACAAACATGAGTGTATAAAAATATCACCACAATTGACATGTATCAACTAGTAAACAAATGAAAAAAAAAACTCTCTTCACTTCATTCTGGCATAGCCTGGAAATGGTCATGCAAAGAACAATCTTCCATAGCCTAAGTAAAAATGTAAACTATTCTAAAAAGGAAGTGAGAGAGGGTCTATTCTAAAAACAAAAATGAGGAGAGAGGGGAAAATATGAGTTAGTAAGTAAAATCCCCAGCTATCAGGTTATTTTACTAAAGCTGATGATGGAGTGGAAGTTGTGAAACAGCAAGTGGACCGGGCACATGAAGCAGATAAAATCACAGCGTCATCGTCCCCACAGATTTAGTTTGATTAACAAGTTAACAACTTGATGGATATATATATTGCTTTTTGTATTTGAAAGTATATTCGCTTATGCGTTGAGAGATAAACCGGCATATCAATCGTTTTGAGCGGCATGATGTAGGTTAAGATGCATCTTTTCATTTAAAAGCATTTTAAGCATTGTGGTTTAAAAACAAATGTAACTGTTCAGGGACATTAAACAGTGGGGCAGAATTCATTTTGGCAAATGCGCGCATTAAGACGGTCACGGCCTGATTCGCGTGGCGCGCACCTGCTCGTACAGCGCAAGTCTAAACTTTAGTTATTTTTCTAGCCTTGTGCTTAAACGTTCAAATGCACAGTTATGTGTCAAAATGTCTCCTCGTCAACACAGTCCTTTGTGTCTTAAAGGAACGTTAATAGTTAAATATAAAGTATGTGTAGTAGGCTATATGAGATCCTAATAGGATGAGATTTTAAAGGAGTTCACCCAAAAATGAAAATACTGTCATCATTTACTCAGCCTCAAGTTGTTCTAAACCTGTATGAATTTCTTTGTTCTCCTCAACATAAAAGAAGATATTTTGAAGAATGTTCGTAACTAGAAAGTTTCTAGACCCCATTGATTCCAGTAGTGTATTTTGTTTTTCATACTATGGAAGTCATGGCAACAGCATCTGTCTGATTATTGTTCCAAATATATGGAGTTTATTTGCAAAAACAGACAACTCTGTTTATTAAAATGGTCAAAAATCATGTTTTTTATTATGTTATCATATTTTTATTGTCTTTTATTGTGTTAGTAAGCTGTATTTATTTTTTAATTGTTTTAACTTAATCAAAATAACCCAACTGCAGTTTGATCGAGAATAATTGGAATGCACAATGAAAAAACATCATTTTTGTAAATTGTTCAAAATGGAGTTATCTGTTTTTGCAAATGAACTCTTCATATACTTTTACATTCAACAGCAGAAGGAAACTCATACAGGTTTAGAACAACATCAGACCTTTAATTTTAGGGTGGGCTATTCCTCTAAACCAGCCTAATTTAGCCGCTGTTAAAATGTATGTCAATAATGTTAATCAAACATTAGAAAGAAAATCACTCACTGTCCTTGACCGAATCACTTTTGTAAAATAAATAAGAATGAATGTATACAGTGAAGACTATTCAGTTTATTTGTACAATTATTTTATACAATATAATTTCTTATCCAGTGCTTTAAGTGTTTCAGTTAGGTCTATTTTTTTGTAATTTGTGGCTGTTTACTTGTCTTAAAGTCTGCATGAAATCAAAATTGATTATCTATACTTTTCAAATTATCATATCGAAGTTAACATACCCTCCAACCATTATTAGTTGCTATGAGTGAGAGACAGAGAGGAGGAGCACAAAAATAAAACCACGCCCTCAATTCAATATTCCGTTTCAGCTGCAAATACGTCACTACACTGAAATAAAGTCGGCAGAAACTTCCAGTTCACACGAACTTTAAGTATTAAGCTTGTTTTTACTTAGGGTAGTATTTTTTTTAATATATATATATATTTAATTTGGTAACAAGGATTATAAAATGGTAATGCATAAAAATTTTGATAGGATAAAAATCCTATTTAAAGCTATATATATATATATATATAATTTGTAATAGGGGGCCCTGCAGTTAGTCATAGCCCCGGGGCCCAGTAAGGTCTTAATGCGGCCCTGCCTGCGCGCTGTTATAATATAACCGAGTGATTTTACTTTTAGATAAATATATACACATACACATATGCATGTAACATGAATATTAAATGGCTCAAAAAACAGGCGACTCCGTCATTAAGTGTAAACATCAACTGGCCACAAAGCACGTGGCAGTTGCTGGTCCATGATCATAACAGTATCACCAGTCTGCAGGTCAGTTCCTTCTGTTTTCCACTTCTGCCTAATCTGAAGGTTTGGTTGGTAGTAACGGATAAAGTACCTCCAGAAGTGGTCAGCTAGGAGCTGACTATGCTTCCATCTCCTATGGCTTAAGAGATTAAAATCGTGGTATACAACTTGAGGTAATGAGACGTCCCGCCTCCCCATCAACAAGATGTTTGGCGTTACTGGGTCTGGATCAGCAATGTCTGAAGAGGTGTATGCAATGGGTTTGGAATTGAGAATACCTTCTATTTCTATAAGGACTGTCCTCAGTACTTCTTCGCTGACTGTCTTGGCACCGAGTGTAACTTGAAGTGCATTCTTTAACGAAAGTATCTCCCTCTCCCAACATCCACCAAAATGGGGTGCACTGGGTGGATTGAAGAGAAATCTTATCTGTTGGCTGGAGAGGTGGGTTTGTAGCTCAGGATGAAGGGCCATGAAAGATTCCCTTAATTCCCTTTCTCCTCCTTTGAAATTTGTACCCTGGTCTGCAAGGAGTTCAAAGGGTTTGCCACGTCTGGAAATTAATCTCCGTAGAGCCATTAAGAGGGAATCAGTGTCCATGCTGGTAAGTATGTCAATGTGGACTGCACGTGAGGTCATGCATTTAAAAATGATTCCCCATCTCTTTTCATGCCTGCGTCCCACCTTTATAGTGTATGGTCCAAAACAGTCTACACCTGTTGAGTAGAAGGCTGGTTGATGGATTCTAAGCCTGGCGGGGGGGACGTCTGCCATTCTGGGAGGATGTGGTTGTCCTCGCCACCGTTGACACTCTGTGCATTGCCGTTGGTGACTTTTCACCGCTGCTCATCCCCATAGCACCCAGTACTTTCTCCGAAGCTCAGCAAACACCCTTTCGGGCCCTGGGTGATGCAGCCGGTGATCATAATCTTTAATTATCAGTCTGGTAATGGGGTGATGTGGGTCAAGGACAATTGGATGTATGGCATCTTCTTCTGGCTCACTGTACTGACGAAGGCGGCCACCAACCCGTATGAGTTCTGAGAGACTGTCAAATTCAGGTGCTAGACAAAGCAGTCTGCTGTTTTTCAGCAGGGGTTTATTTGATCTTAAACACAGTAGTTCCTCTGCAAAGCAGTCAGTTTGAACTTGGCGTAGGGCTGCCAACTCTGCCTCTTTGTAGTCATCTGCTGTTGGTGTACTGTCATGCTGAATATAGGCTTTTAGCAGATGTGCGAGGGTGGAGTACTGCTGTGGGTCTGGGGTGGGCGGAGAGGTGGCTGTTAAACCACAAAAGGCTGACTTTCTCAGTTCATTGTCATGGTTAGTGGTTGTTAGTGGCTGCATCGCTGGCCATCTAACAGGGGTTTGGCTGAGAAATTTTGGCCCGTTGTACCATCGGCTTTCTCACCCTATGTCACGACTAGATCTGCCCTTTGTGATGTAGCCAGCTTGCTGTAACCTGTTTATCTCTTCCTGGTATGCTGCTGCTTGATCAGGTTTCCTTTCCAGACGATTTTCAATTCCCCTTAACTGTGGCAACACAGCTACTTCGGGTGCATGAAGGCATGGCATATCCTTAGCCCGCAGTAGGGGAGTTGCATAACGCTGGACTCCATTAACTCCTATTCTCACGGTTTTCGTGTGGAGAAGCTGGATGGACTCCTGGTCTTGTCGTGACCTTATCAGCACTTTTTCAATCTGATATGGGAAAATGTCCATTTTCCATAGTTACTCCACATCAGCGTACAGGTTGTCAATGGGTCGCAGACTGGTGAAGAGACACTGCTGAGGGTGTGGTGGTTATTTCTTGTGCTGGACCCTGTAATGTCCATCCTAGGCGGGTTCTCACAGTAGCAGGGCCCCCAGGTGGGCCTAGTCGGACAGGTTCGATGGGTGTTATGAGGTGAGGGCAGTCAGAGCCAATAAGAATCACGGGTTTCACCTTGTGAAGGTTCCGAAGTGGCAGGCCCGCGAGGTGCTTGTACCTTTTCTGGAGTACCTGGACTGGGTGCGTGTACTCTGCTAAACCCAGGCTGTTAGCTGTGAATGCACTCCGTATCTTGAACACCTTACGAGGGTTATCCATTGAAGACACCGTGAAGGTCACGGCCGCCCCGTGAATGGTCTGCATCTCTTGCCTGACCGTGCGAAGCACTAATTCCTCTGGCTGCCCCTTTAGTTTCAGCTTCTGAATTGCATTATGAAGAATAATGGTCCGCTCTGACCCATCATCAAGCACAGCATATGCCTCCATAGCTTTGTTGCCATTTCGGAGTAGAACTTTGGTCACTTTTAACAAGATCTTACGGTCACAAGTGGGACGATCAACATATAGTACCGCACTGGCTGGAACAGATTCTTCAGTTGTTCTGCTTTGATCAGTCACCTCATGTAGTGCCACCAGGTGCTTCCTGTTACATGTTTGACAGAGGGCTTTCAGAGTGCAGTGGGCTGCCTGATGACCACGTCCACAGCGCCAGCATCTATTTTGGCTTTTAATCCAAGTTACTTTCTGTTCTTTGGTGAGTAGCTTAAAGTTCTCACAATTGTTCAGGAAATGTCTGTTGCTGTCACAATATGGACAGTAAGCATTCACCCTTTCTCCCTTAGCAGTGACTGGTTTCTGTTGATCAGCTGGTAGTACTGAAGTGGCCTTTGATTTCTCTGTTCCAAGGAGAATGGCAGTGGGTTTGCGAGTTTGCTGGGAGTCTCTCCTTATTTCCTTTCTCGGCATTGATGACACTTGTTTGGATTGAGGGGTGTAATCTGTGTGGTCTCCCTGAACTTGGAGCTCATATTCAAGCCTATCTGCAAAGTCCAGTAATGTAGGAATGGTAACGCCAAGAGGGTGTGTGTACCTCTTAAAACTGGATCTGAAGTCATGTGGCAATTTGCTCATAAGTCTGGAAACATGTGACCCACACTCCAGCTCGGTTGTTCCTTTCAGGCCTAGCTGTTCCAACATACTGACCAAGGAGCGTCCATGGAGCCCAAACAGACGAAAAGCTTTCACATCTCCACTACGAATGTTTGGTCCATCCATCAGATATGCTATGCGTTGTAAGGCTAACTGGTGGGGTTGGCCATACATCTTGGTAAGTGCTCTCATGGTGTAAGTAAATGGAAGCCTTGAATTATTGTACGAGTCTGACACAAAAAGTGCTTCCTCCAGCTTTAGGTGGTCAGTAAGTATCTGATATTTAAAATGCTCTGTTGCATCCTCAGGCAGAATATTCTCTAAAGCTATCCTCAATCTTGAGAATTCTCTAGGATCAGGAGATGTTAAAAAGGGAATGGTTGGAGCAGGCCCTCTGTATGTTTTCTCCTGAGAGAGTGAAGGCTGGTCATACACTTGTCTGCGATCAGGGCGAGCAGGTGGCAGGTGGCAAATGTTCAGTACATTTTCATTTCTGGGTGAACTATTGCTATAAATGTCAGATTGGGGTGAAAACCAACTTCGTGTGCTGAAGTCTCAAACTGATAAGATGGAAGGCACTGAGAGAATGGAGGGTCTCTGGAGTGAAACTGTTTGCTGTGATGTGCTTGTGACGGTACTCTCTCATGAATTAAGGACGCAATGTCCATACTCCTGAAGTTTTCAGTTAACTCAAGGCTCTCATCAATCACAGCTGGCTGCAGTTCTCTCGTGGAAGCAGGTGGTGGCACCCTAATCCGGGGGGCTGGCGTTGGGCGGTATGGTTGTGAAACTGCTGGGCTCACCACTGGAATAAAGGGATCGTAGGACGGCACTGGTAAAGTTGCTGACTTAGATGGAGCTTCCCGTTCTGCTTTAAGGCTTTGTAGCTCATGGTGTAACATGGCGTTCTGCCAGCGCATCTCCTTTAAGGTTGAGATGATCTCTGGGAGCTGACTTATTTGTTGCCGCAAATCTATATTCGCTTGTTGCACTGCATGCAGCATAGATTTGAGCGCTACTTCCTCTTTGCTTCGTCCATGCGATGTCCATTCGTCTCTTAAAATCCATTTCTCCTGCTCTGACACTTGGCTGACAGGAGAAGTCGATCGGGTAGGTCCTGCAGAACTTGGAGACTGTACTCGACTTTGACTGAAGGCTGGGAGTGGCTGTCGTTGTGCTAGTGGTTCACCAAGCTCATAATCTGCCAAATGAGCTGGGGGCTGAACGCATCGTCGTGGACACACAACAGGCTGTTCTTTCTCTGGCTGGGACATCTCCGTAGCAGATCAGCATCCGGCTCAAAGGACCATGTAAATTTCTCTTGTTCTGACTGGTTCGGATAGGCTGACAGCTACAAGTTGCGGGTCAGGACAACAATGTCTCAGTCCAGTAACTACTCCAAATCTTGTTTATTGATCGTGCATAGATATTGTGTGGTTCTGTAACAAAATAAACAAATACAAACATGAGTGTATAAAAATATCACCACAATTGACATGTATCAACTAGTAAACAAATGAATAACTAATGGAAACTATTACACTGTAACACTGCACTGCAGCTTGACTTCAAACGGCCTAAATTACTATATAAATGAACTCAAACACAAAGCATATAGAAAGTGCGCTGATGTGCATGCGTTGTTCACGTGCACGCGGCTGCTGCTGCACGTGCGGTGGTGCTGATGAATTAGACCACTCAGAGAGCCTGCCCGCTGTTATAATATAACCGAGTGATTTTGCTTTTAGATAAATATATATGCATATGCATGTAACATGAATATTAAATGGCTCAAAAAACAGGCGACTCCGTCATTAAGTGTAAACATCTGCATGTATAACACCGAACACGACAGTTACATGTAAACCATCAAACAGTTACTCGTATACACAGGGGCGGATTTAGTGATTTGGGGGCCCCAGGCAAAATACAGGAATGGGGCCCTATACAATTTCACACATTTACAACCTTGAGGTTCCTTTCACTGTTGCTCCCTGCTGCACGCCCGTGTCCCATAGTTGTGTCTAATCTTTTAGATTTTTCATGTACATGTTATAAATAAAGGATTTCTTTAATGTTGTAAATCCCTTGTTCACATTTAAACAGGTTATAATAGTATAAGAGTAGGTTGTGGCATGATATTTGTAGGGCCCTATGAAACCCGTTTTATTTTTCCCAAATTAGCCTACGTTTTTTCCCCCAAAATCTTTTTTTCCGTTTTAGTTTTTCTGGATCCATTTTTTTTCCTTTTCTGGATGATTATATAAAATTTTAACAAAAAAAACATGTCTAATGAATTAAAATCATGAAACTTGTTTAATTTAACAGCAATTTAGGCCTATTAAAAGTTTAACAAAAATTACATTCTTAGGGCCCAAATTCTGCGCTTTCTTTCTTTTTTTCTGTATTCCATTTTAACGGTTTAATCAAAAACATATCTAATTAATTTAATTCATAAAAACAACTTAATTTATTACAATATACAATAATAGGGCCCTATGAATTTTTTATTTTATTTACTTATTTTTTAGAAATTCTGTGTTGTGTATTTTCATTTTTCTGGTAATCAAATGAAGGCGAAAACATTCATCTATCTTTTATTCCAATGAAAATTAAACAAACCCTTTAATTTTTGTACATTCAAAATGCTACACAACAGAAGTTTACTGTGTAACGAGCAATGTCACGGAATTCGTCAAATATTGAATGAATAAATCAAATGCAATTCTGTACACTTCAATCAAACCGCGATATGGACTAGTATATGTGAATATTAAATGGCAAAAATACTACAGGCAACCGCGAGCGTTGCGCGTGCTTAAATAGCAAACTAGCAAACGTGCGTCTGCGCCGTTCATTCCGCGTTACACAGTAAATTCCGTTTTTATGAATAGATTCCGGGATTCCGTCCCCATTTTCTACATCGCCCTACTTTTCTAAGAAGCACGTTCAACGCGGACGCACAGACGGTTGTGGCGGTAATGAACACCACAGCAACCACTTGTGCGTCCGCGTTGAACGCGTATCTCGTATATAAAAGGCATTTTAGGGGGCCCTTGGCTTTCGGGGGCCCAAGGCGGTCGCCTACCTTTGCCTAATGGTTAAGTCCGCCTCTGCTATACATATTCGGATACTTACATCGTGATGCACGCACACATAGTGAATTGGTGGGTTTTTGCTAAATGTGAGCCAAAATCATCACAATTAAAAGAACCAAATACTTAAACTACTTCAGTCTGTGTGCATTGAATTTATTTAATACACGAGTTTCACAATTTGAGTTGAATTACTGAAATAAATGAACTTTTCCACGACATTCTAATTTATTGAGATGCACCTGTATACTTTGAAGATATAATCCACTCGTTTCCTCTCTAAACTATATAAGGCACAGCCGAACTCTCTCTGTTCTACCACTCACTTTCCCGCTCCGTTACCTGGAAACCTGAGACCGAACTTTGGCACAGTCCATTTCAGTCCAAATGATGGGGGTGTCCGGGAAAGTCAATGTTTCGTGGGGAATACTTTCTACAGTCAATGTTTACGTAAATATATTTTTAAGGAATTTCGGCTTTATAAAATTATTTTAAATGATTAACCTTACCTGTAGATATGCTTTCCTGTGCGTGGTCCAAACATAGACTGTCGTTTCGCGCCAAGTTTGAAAAGTTATCTAAGCTAGGGTGACCATAAGTGCCATTTTCCCAGGACGCGTCCTGGCCAGGATTTCTATATTGCCTACGATCGGTCTGCACACGCAAACAAAACCAAAACCGAGATATTTTAGGCAATATAGAAATCCTGGCCAGGACGCGTCCTGGGAAAATGGCACGTATGGTCACCCTAAGCTAAGCGGCAAGATTTTGTAAACAAAACACATGCATTTTGTGTTAAATAGCCTAAAAATATAATCAAGTGAAAACAAACGTCAATAATTTTTCTATTGTTTTGCCAACATAAAACTTCCGAGCAGCATATTGCTATGGCTATGTTACTTTGTTGGCTAGCTTTATTTACGCGACTATTCATTCATACTAACTTTTAATCCAACATATTATTACTGAAACGTTTGTCATTTCTGGCAATATTGTCTACTTGATTGCACAGACACTACTGGAAGAGAACTGAACTGAAGAATTGACTATTGACGCACTATTTTCCTGGTTAACACTGTAAAAGCTGTGTTAACACAATCTGTATTATAAGCACTATATAAAGGTGACTTGACTTGACCTACTAAGGCCCTGACTCTTACCAAGACCTGGGACAATCTTTGTGTGCTTCTATGTCAAAAAAAGAATAATAATTGTTTTCATCATTTGTGTGTGTTCTCATACACATGATTTTAATGATGAAAGTGTGAGAGAATGGCTCAGATTTTGCAAAAAGGACAGGTATGGCTGTTGCATGTTGATCCATGTTCACACTCAGCATCCATTCTTGCAGTGTGGCATTGATGTGCCATCATGATAACCAGGAAAACAGCTTTGAAAACCAGGGTTGTAATGTTTTTCCCATTATACATTGGCCAATATGATGTTTTCACTGACAGATTCTTTAACTTTTACATTTGGTCCCCTGAATGTTGAATATTTAGTTCGATTCTTGCTGAAAATATTCCAACAACTGGAGCCCATAAAGAGGAATGTCTGTTTTTAGTTCATGAAGAAAATTACAAACTGTTAAGTTTTCTAAGAAACATGCTGTTAGGAGGCGTAGTTGCGAAGTACACAGTGATGTTGCTCGTAAGTCACTTATTCATAAACCATTTACAAAGGACCTGATAGAAAGACTACAAATGGTTTGTAAAATGTCAAGGTGCACAAACTGTTAGATCATCAGTTAGGGAAATCACACCAATTATGAACCCAAGTTCATTCAATTCTCACATTAAAGACAAAGTGCTCACACTACTTGTGCTGGAGTCCAAATTATTAAAAAAAAACAAAAAAAACTTTATTGTCACTTCAATTGCTCTTCGCTACATCCAAACATGTGACGAACACAAAACAGAGCAGAGCTGAACATGCCGACACATGCACACACACACACACATACATACAGTGAGAAACAGTCTACACAACAACATGACAGATCAATTTGAAAACAAAGACAATAAAAAAAGATAAAGAAAAATCACACAGCTTCCTATGTGTCTCTGCCATGACAGAAATAGAAAGGGGGGGGAAACAACATCCACTGTGAGGAATAAACCATCCTTTAAAAATGAACACAGGCATCTAAAAGTGGGAGTAATTAGTCAGGTTTGCAGATTACACATACAGTAAGCACACAGAAAACATCTCTTCGTGCTAACTTCATTGTTTGGCCTTTTCTTCCATGCAAAAGCTCAGCTGAAATCTGAAGTGAAACTACTGAGGTGGCAGCGACTGACCCCTTTGTGTCGATAATAGTTTTGAGTACTGATTTTGGATCAGTACGCCAGGGCTTCTACAGA